TTATAGTGGGTGCATACCTCCTATATTGGGTGCATACCTCTTATAGAGGGTATATACCTCTTATAGTGGGTGCATACCTCTTATAGTGGTTGAATATGTCTTGTATTCTTATATTAAGTGCATACCTTTTATAGTGGATACATAGTGGGTGCATACCTCTTACAGTGGGTACATACCTCTTATAGTCGGTGCATACCTCTTATAGTGGGTACACACCTCTTATAGTGGGTGCATACCTATTATAGTGGGTAGATACTTTTTACAGTGGTTGCATACCTCTTATATTGGATGCATACCTCTTATAGAGGGTATATACCTCTTATAGTGGGTGCATACCTTTTATAGTGGGTACATACCTCTTATAGTGGGTGCATACCTCTTATAGTGGTTGAATATGTCTTGTATTCTTATATTAAGTGCATACCTTTTATAGTGGATACATAGTGGGTGCATACCTCTTACAGTGGGTACATACCTCTTATAGTCGGTGCATACCTCTTATAGTGGGTACACACCTCTTATAGTGGGTGCATACCTATTATAGTGGGTAGATACTTTTTACAGTGGGTACATACCTCTTATATTGGGTGCATACCTCTTATAGTGGGTGCATAGCTCTTATGGAGGATGCGTACCACTTATAGTGGGTGCATAGCTCTTATAAAGGATGCAGACATCTTATAGTTGGTGAATACATCTTATAATCTTATATTAAGTGCATACCTCTTATAATGGGTGCATACCTCTTATAGTGGGTGCATACCTCTTCTAGTGGGTACACACCTCTTATAGTGGATGCACACCTATTATAGTGGGTACATACCTTTCACAGTGGTTGCATACCTCTTGACAGGCTGAGTGGCAGGCAACAGAGGGTTGTAGACAATGGAATATATTCGAAGCTTGGACTTGTCACCAGTGGGGTACCTCAGGGATCTGTACTTGGACCCATTCTCTTTAATATTTTTATTAGTGATATTGCAGAAGGTCTTGATGGTAAAGTATGTCATTTTGCTGATGATACTAGGATATGTAACAGGGTTGATGTTACAGGAGGGATAAGCCAAATGGCAAATGATTTAGGTAAACTAGAAAAATGGTCAGAATTGTGGCAATTGACATTTAATGTGGATAAGTGCAAGATAATGCATCTTGGACGTAAAAACCCAAGAGCAGAGTACAGAACATTTGATAGAGTCCTAACCTCAACATCTGAGGAAAGGGATTTAGGGGTGATTATTTCTGATGACTTAAAGGTAGGCAGACAATGTAATAGAGCAGCAGGAAATGCTAGCAGAATGCTTGGTTGTATAGGGAGAGGTATTAGCAGTAGAAAGAGGGAAGTGCTCATGCCATTGTACAGAACACTGGTGAGACCTCACTTGGAGTATTGTACACAGTACTGGAGACCGTATCTTCAGAAGGATATTGATACCTTAGAGAGGGTTCAGAGAAGGGCTACTAAACTGGTTCATGGATTGCGGGATAAAACTTACCAGGAAAGGTTAAAGGATCTTAACATGTATAGCTTGGAGGAAAGACGAGACAGGGGGGATATGATAGAAACATTTAAATATATAAAGGGAATCAACACAGTAAAGGAGGAGACTATATTTAAAAAGAAGAAAAACTACCACAACAAGAGGACATAGTCTTAAATTAGAGGGACAAAGGTTTAAAAATAATATCAGGAAGTATTACTTTACTGAGAGGGTAGTGGATGCATGGAATAGCCTTCCAGCTGAAGTGGTAGAGGTTAGCACAGTAAAGGAGTTTAAGCATGCGTGGGATAGGCATTAGGCTATCCTAGCTATAAGATAAGGCCAGGGACTAATGAAAGTATTTTAAAAATTGGGCAGACTAGATGGACTGAATGGTTCTTATCTGCCATCACATTCTATGTTTCTATGTTTCTATATTGGGTGCATACTTCCTATGGTGGGTACATACCTCTTACAGTGGGTGCATACCTCTTACAGTGGGTGCATACCTCTTATAGTGGCATGACTCCTGTAGTGGGTTTGTATCTTCTGTATTGCATACCCCCTGCAGTGAGCACATACTTCCTGGAGAGGCAAACCTCCTATAGTGGGTAACCAATACACAATAGAATTAAAATATTAATTCTGAGAATACTTATCTCAACCTTTCTCAATCTTCCAATGTATACAAGAACATGAAACAAAAGAAGATAAATAATGCACTAACTAGCGATGATCAATTATATTAATGATCATAAGCAATACATTTTAAGTACCCAAAAGTAATTATATATAATGTCTAACAACATAATAAATGCAATAGTGCACAGTAAGATGTAATATGTCAGATTCTGCATCGATAAATGACCCAATGTAATGGCAATGAAACCTAAAGGATAAAAAAAAAAAAAATTACGGCAGCCCTTTTCCTGGACAAAAAGTGCTATCAAATCTCATGTAGCATGATAAATACACTTGCATGTGAGGATGATACAATACACCCAAGAAACAATATAATTTGCGGCATCCCTTTTCCTGGAAGAGAAAAGGCTTGCCATATTTGTATTTATTTTATTTTTTTATTCTATAGGTTTGATTGCCATTACATTGGGTCATTATGAAGCTGTTAACCTCCCCCAGCTCACATTCAGTCATCGACCTTGGCTCTTGTCTGGAGGATAACAGCTGGGATCTGTAAACATGAGTGATGATATTCGCCTCATAAAGAGCAAATTTACACCCTCCTTAATGTTATAGCGATTCTACTGATTCTTGGGTTTTTTTGCCCTTCCATACAAAACCATCAACACTATCGTGAACCATCTGAAGCCAACTGTGGGAAACGTTAAATGGAACCATTTGAAAAAGGTGAGACCACTTGGGTCAGATGTAAGCTTGAATTGTATTAACCCTCCCCCACCATGAAATCTCCTCTTTTCCACTTTTTCAGGCACACATTTGAGATGCATACATCTGATCTCCATCATTTTCTCTATGTCCTTAGCTGTATCAGTTCCAAGGTAGCAAAAACTCTTTTTCGCCCAACTGAACTCATAATCCACTCTTTTCCTGTCTTATTTAAATGTAATGGCATTACTGTAGTTAATGCCTTTGGTGAAGGGATTTACTGCAGTGAGGTGAATGATTATTACAGCAATTGGGCAGTTTATAAATATATATTCAAATTATACTCTGAAATAAATCAAACATTTGATGTCACAATGTAATTTATACGAGATGTTCAGGTGTAGGGTTGGATGTAGGGCCTTGTATAGAGCAGTGTTTCCCAACCCAGTCCTTCAGTACCCCCTAATAGTCCAGGATTTAGAGATTACCCAGTTGTGTTTAAGGTGTTAATAGAAAGTAAAAATAAAATACTTTAAATACAACTGGGTAATCCCTAAATCCTGGACTGGTAAGGGGTACTTGCGGATATAGGGCATCTATCTATCTATCAACTGTTTATCTCTCTGACTACCAGCCTCTTAACCTATAAGTCTATCAACCTGTGTAAAAAAACTGGAAAGTCAAAATAATTTTAAAATAAGAACGAAGACAAATAAATATGATTATCCTATAAAATATTTAAAATGATGCTTTATATGTGTCGGCTTCTTGACTCTAGGTGGAAAAAAGAAATACAAAACAAATGCATATATTTAATATAATATTAAACCATATATTTAAAAACTATATATATAATAACATTATTTAAAACTTTAATTGGGCAAAGGACATGAAAAAAAAAGTAGAAATAACACATCATTATTCATCTGCTATTACTATCCAACCACCGACCCATTAACCCATCCATCCACCCTTCCATCCAACCACCGACACACCAACCCATACATCCACCCTTCCATCCAACCACCGATCCATCAATCCATCCATCCAACCACCGGCTCACCAAGCCATCCATCCAACCATCCATCCACCCTTCCATCCAACCACGACACACCAACCCATCCATCCAACCATCCATCCAACCACCGATCCATCAATCCATCCATCCAACCACTGGCTCACCAACCCATCCATCCACCCTTCCATCCAAGCACCAGCTCACCAACCCATCCATCCACCCTTCCATCCAATCACCGACACACCAACCCATCCATCCACCCTTCCGTCCAACCACTGACCCACCACCCCATCCATCCATCCTTCCATCCAACCAACCACAGACCCACCAACCCATCCAACCTTCCTTGCATTCTCCCATCCTCTCTGACTGCTTATTCAGCTTTCCATTTATTTGACTGACTCTCTGTCCCAGCAGCCAATAAATAAAGGGTAAAAAGAAAAATAATAGGTGATAAAGAAAATAAAATGTAATTTGAACATGTTGTCCTGTAATCACAGATGATGCAGCAGGGGAATCCCTAACCTCCCATCTGAATGTATCACCAGAGATTACATTAATACATTGTGTTCTAAAACCTTCCTCCAGAAAGATTTATGGGATGAAAAGGATTCAGAGAATAAAACCCAGACCCTTTAATCATATTCTTATGTAACAGTGACAGAGTGAGTGTGAGCTATTTATCTGCTAATCTTTACAAGCATTTTAGTTTTTAGTTCACAAAAGATCAAGGAGAGGGAAAGTGTGCAGTTATTGTGTTCTGTTGATATATGTACGTTTTACATTGTTCTCTTCTGTCTGCTGAGAGGTGAAGGAAGGAGGGGTGTGTTGCTAGAAGCACAGGAGCACAGTGTCAGGCTCTGGGGGGCCCTGGAGAATTAAGGAGTATCGCTGACATCAGCAATGCGGCAAAATGGAAAGTTCCATCTGTATCCTGAGTGGACCCTGGAATCCTACCTCTGCCTGCTGACACATTGTATCTCCAGCCCCCAGAAAAAACTCCAACAGACTGAAAATCAGGGTGTGAGAGCCAGGAAGGGGTTATATTCTCACCCAGGGGTTATTTCAGAGATTACCTCTCCCCACTTACTATTGATCTTCCCTCTCTGTATAAAAGGCAGAGCTCAGGCGTCACTCCCACATCTAGCTCCAAGATGAGTTACGGTTCGGATCATTACCTCTCCTCCTCATACAGGAAGATCTTTGGAGACACACCCAAGGTTTCATCTTCTCGCCTGGGAAGTGGCTTCTCCTCTAGAACTACAACAGGGAGTGCTTATAGGTCCCAGTCCCAGTCTCGCAGCAATGTCTCCTCTGGGTCATCTTACAGAAGGTCCAACAGAGGGCTTGGGTATGGTTCACCTGGAGAACACCTAGATCTGACCCAAACCTCAGCACAGAACAGTGAGTTTAAAATCATCCGCACCAATGAGAAGGAACAGCTCCAGGGGCTCAATGACCGGTTTGCCATGTTCATCGAGAAGGTCCATAACTTGGAACAGCAGAACTTGGTGCTGGAGACAGAGCTCTCAGCCTACAGACAGAGACAGTCTGAGCCCTCCAGGCTGGGAGAACTCTACCAGCAGGAGATCAAAGACCTAAGAGCTGAGCTGGAAGACCTGACTAGTCAGAAGTCCCAAATCATCATTGAGAGGGACAATCTTGAAGAGGACTTTCAGAAGCTGAAAGGTAAATATGAAGATGAGATGAGAATGAGAGAGGAGACAGAGTATGCCCTTAAAGCCCACAAGAAAGATGTGGATGATGCCACCTTGGCAAGACTGGACCTGGAGAAGAAGGTGGAATCTCTACTGGATGAGATCTCTTTCTTGAGGAAGGTCCACGAAGAAGAAGTCACAGAGCTGATGTCCATTATCCAAGCTTCCCAGGTGTCTGTGGAAATGGAGATGGCCAAACCAGACCTCACCTCAGCTTTGAAGGACATCAGGTCCCAGTACGAGTCACTGGCTGCCAAGAACCTGCAGTCTGCCGATGAGTGGTACAAGTCGAAGTATGCCAACCTCTCCGAGCAGGCTTCTCGCAGCAGCGAAGTCATTAGAGCCAACAGGGAGGAGATGAATGACTACAGGAGACAACTCCAGTCCAGGACCATAGAAATAGAGAGCCTGAGGAGCACCAATGAGTCCCTGGAAAGGCAGCTCCAGGAGATGGAAGACAGGCATATATCAGAGATCTCTGGACTGCAGGTAAATCTTTCAAATTCCCTGTATTATACCAGCAGCTAAACAGTACATACCTGTATCACCTACCATGTATCAGGCTAGTAACATCAACTGAATCACTAGATGTATCTTTAACCCTGTGTGTTATATTACGTCTCTCTTTAACCCTGTGTGTTATATTATGTCTCTCTTTAACCCTGTGTGTTATATAATTAGATATTTCTCTCTTTAACCCTGTGTGTCACATTCTCTCCATAAATGATATAATAAGAAGATAGTTCTTTCTGTAACACAAAGTACCAGCTATTCTCCATAAATGATATAACTAGGTACGTAACTCCATGTATCAATAATGGATATCGATAGGTTAGGTACCGTATTTGATATAGTGATAGAAACAGTTATTTTCCCCTGCTTCTGTCTGAATGCAATGCGTGCTGCAGCCGCTGTCCTTGGTGCTGAAAGCAGTTTGCCTCCTTCTCCTATAGAATTGGACTAGAATTCCTGGGATTACTGATCTCTTCATGCCTGCACTTATTTAATAGACAAAAGAGGAAAGTATCCGATCCCCCAGTATCACAGAGTATCAGAACATTTCACCCAGTATCACAGAGTATCACACCATTTCACCCAGTATCACAGAGTATCAGAACATTTCACCCAGTATTACAGAATATTAGATTATACCCCCAGTATTACAGAGTATTAGAATACCCCTCACCCCCCAGTATCACAGAGTATTAGAATATGCCCACAGTATCACAGAGTATTAGAATATCCCCACCCCCAGTATCACATAGTATTGGAATATCCCCCAATATCACAGAGAATTAGAATATGCCCCCAGTAACACAAATAATTAGAATACCCCCACCAGTAACACAGAGTATTAGATTATGCCCAGCAGTATCACAGAGTATTATATTATCCTCCCAGTATCACAGAGTATTAGAATAAACCCCCAGTATCACAGAGTATTATATTATCCCCCCAGTATCACAGAGTATTAGAATAAACCCCCAGTATCAAAGAGTATGAGAATATCCCCCCAGTATCACAGAGTATTAGAATAAACCCCCAGTATCACAGAGTATGAGAATATCCCCCAGTATCACAGAGTATTAGAATAAACCCCCAGTATCACAGAGTATGAGAATATCCCCCAGTATCACAGAGTATTAGAATATCCCCCCAGTATCATAGAGTATGATATTATCCCCCAGTATCACAGAGTATTATATTATCCCCCAGTATCACAGAGTATTATATTATCCCCCCAGTATCACAGAGTATTAGAATAAACCCCCAGTATCACAGAGTATTAGAATATCCCCCCAGTATCATAGAGTATGATATTATCCCCCCAGTAACACAGAGTATGATATTATCCCCAGCAGTATCACAGAGTATTAGAATATCCCCCCAGTATCACATAGTATGAGAATATCCCCCCAGTAATACAGAGTATTAGAATACCCCTCCAGTAACACAGAGTATTAGAATATCCCCCCAGTATCACAGAGTATTATATTATCCCCCCAGTATCACATAGTATGAGAATATCCCCCCAGTAATACAGAGTATTAGAATACCCCTCCAGTAACACAGATTATTAGAATATTCCCCCTGTATCACAGAGTATTATATTATCCCCCAGTATCACAGAGTATGATATTATCCCCCCAGTATCACAGAGTATTAGAATAAACCCGCAGTATCACAGAGTATGAGAATAAACCCCCAGTATCACAGAGTATTAGAATAAACCCCCAGTATCACAGAGTATTAGAATATCCCTGCAGTATCACAGAGTATGAGAATATCCCCCCAGTATCACAGAGTATGATATTATCCCCCAGTATCACAGAGTTTGATATTATCCCCCCAGTAACACAGAGTATGATATTATCCACCAGTATCACAGAGTATGATATTATCCCCCCCAGTATCACAGAGTATTAGAATATCCCCCCAGTATCACAGAGTATATTATCCCCCAGTATCACAGAGTATGATATTATCCCCCCAGTAACACAGAGTATGATATTATCCCCCAGTATCACAGAGTATGATATTATCCCCCCCAGTATCACAGAGTATTAGAATATCCCCCCAGTATCACAGAGTATGATATTATCCCCCATTATCACAGAGTATGATATTATCCCCCCAGTATCACAGAGTATTAGAATATCCCCCCAGTATCACACAGAGTATGATATTATCCCCAGTATCACAGAGTATTATATTATCCCCCAGTATCTCAGAGTATGATATTATCCCCAGTAATACATAGAGTATTATATTATCCCCCCAGTATCATATAGTATTAGAATACCCCCCTCCCCCAGTATAACAGAATAGCAGAGACTATCCCCTAGAGTATTAGAATGTCTCTGAATGAACCTTCAAACTGTGTCAGAGTATATTACTAGGGGTGAGATTAGTGTACATAGTCTTTGTGTGTTATGTACATCTCTTTACATTAGGAAATAGTTTTATAATGTCTACATGGGCGTTTCCTCATGTGCAGATAAAAGCCATGCATGCAGAGACTACACTGTGTTAAGTGAGTTACTTGGTAGGGTTTTTATTTGGTGTAGCAATTGTGACCATAATAAACCATTTCAGTTACATAATATATTATGTATCACTGTGCTGTCAAGGCAGGTGCAGTCATGGAAATGATGGAGGGGGAGGGGCAGATAGGGAGTGGTACCTTGGTGGAACAAAGGCTCATCAAATTCTCAGCTTGAGAGATAACTCCAGGAAGCAGTGACTTGACTTGAGCCAGCACTATAATCAAATGTAAAACAGTGTATAAGGGATTTAATTACTAAAAGTGTAAACTTTACTTTACGGCTCTCTTTTTCCTACATGTTAAATTTGACCTATAATTATTTTCACGTTACCTTTACCTGTTGTACAGCGCTACAGAACATGTTGCTGCTATATCAGTTATAATCATAGGTTAAGAAAATAACTGGATTGGATTTTTTTTCTTTTTTTTGCAATTAACTCTTCCCACGTAATTTGAACTTTTTGTCAATTCGCTACTATTTACTCTTTATAGTCACCACTCCTTAAAGTGAGTTTAATTAGTGAATCTTAAACCTGTATCAATGCGTTTTGCAACTCAAGATCTTGTTGGAATTTTGGTAGTAATCTTCATGGGTCACTCTAGCACCATAGCCACTACAATTCATTGTAGTGGTTGTGGTGCTATAATCTATGGGTGCTCCCTTCTCTATTTCGTATTACCATTTTAGAACAGTTTGTCAAAAAAACAGATGGACGACAATGACAGGCTGGGAGCATTATGGAAGGGTTAACTGTATTGAATCGGGTACTTAGAGTATCCCATGAGGTCTTGACCTTCATAAATAAGAATTGTTCACGACTTTATTTTGAGCTGCACACAGATAAATAAGACTTATGGTAAATCACCAGAAATACAAAATAAAGATCTCATTGTATGCATCTGTAGAACACCAGTTAATTCTGTTGCCAAGATTCTCTGAGTAAAGGTTACTTTATAACAAAAGATAGGCTAATATGGTCCAGGGCGGATTTCCATACATTGTCTGACATCACAGCATCCTCGCGACGTCCAATCAAATGCTTCTCATAGAGAAACATTTGATTGGATTGTTAAACTGGCACAGAGCGCATGAGCGCATTCTGAGCCGATAAGGGGAGGGAGTGGAGAAGAAGAGAGGGAGGGAACATAAAAAAAAATAATGGTGGGTATAGTGACAGGACACAAACGCTAACTATCACAGGCGCTGCCCGCAAGGGAGAACTTCATTACATCAGCTTCAAGGCGACTGGATTAAATTTTTGCACAGAATTGACATTAGGCAGCCCAGAATAGACTTCCTTGTGTTGGGGATGTAACATGCGCCTGGCACAAAAAGATTTCTCTAAACATAGAAACATAGAATGTGACGGCAGATAAGAGCCATTCAGCCCATCTAGTCTGCCCATTTTTCTAAATACTTTCATTAGTCCCTGGCCTTATCTTATCTGTTAACCTCTACCACTTCCGCTGGAAGGCTATTCCATGCATCCACTACCCTCTCAGTAAAGTAATACTTCCTGATATTATTTTTAAACCTTTGTCCCACTAATTTAAGACTTGATGTGGTAGTTTTTCTTCTTTTAAATATAGTCTCCTCCTTTACTGTGTTGATTCCCTTTATGTATTTAAATGTTTCTATCATAACCCCCTTGTCTTGTTACATTTCCTGTTAAGTTTTACCCTGCCGTATTCTGTACGTGCAGGTTTCCCTGTACAGTACGTGCAATGTTTCAAGCAGATTGCTACCACCATGACAACTTCAATTCACTGTGGTTATGGTGTTTGGAGTTACTCATTAAACATAAAATTGAAATGTATACAGTTGAAATCCAGTCTCCTTCTGAAATGAAAATGTGTAACTTTACTAAAAATAAAATAGATTTTGAAATAAACACAGATATATTTCAAAATACTATGTTACATCCTTATTAAAACAAATAATAAATTAATAGATTGTAGATTAAATGGGGTGGATTACCAATATAAGCAAACACCTTATGAGATACAATATATAATTAGACATTATGATATATAATTAGACATTATGATTTAATGACAATGAACTGTGGTGAATGGAAACCTAGATTGCAAAGTTCAAGTCCAATTGACGATGTTTCCCATAATACACTTCAAAACAGGGATCATTTTGCTAAACAGTGAGGGCCAACTTTAAGTCAAATCAACAGATTTAAAAAAAAAAAGTATATTAATGCCTAACTAAACACAATTGGACATTGTTTTCTAATGAGGCTATTTTTAGCCTATAATTTTAAGCCCTCTGTTAAAGTTGCCGGCGTCATAGATTAACTTTAAACTTATTGATGCTTAAAGTTGAATTTAAAATGTCTTCTCCGTTACAGCAGCAAAATACGAAACTGCATTAAAGACGATAATATAACTGCATTAAACACGACACGATAGCTGCATTAAACACGACACAATAACTGAATTAAACACGACAAGATAACTGCATTAAACACGATACGATAACTGCATTAAACACGATACGATAGCTGCATTAAACGTGATACGATAAATGCATTAAACACGATACGATAGCTGCATTAAACACGATACGATAAATGCAATAAACATGATACTATAGCTGCATTAAACACGATACGATAGCTGCATTAAACGCGATACGATAAATGCAATAAACACGATTGGATAGCAGCATTAAACACGATACGATCGCTGCATTAAACGCGATACGATAAATGCAATAAACACGATAGGATAACAGCATTAAAACACACTGGCAGTATTATAGTGCTGTTCCATATCACCGCTGGGTTAAGAGCCATGGGAGTTGCTGATTACAGCTTCTTGAAAGCTGCTCCCTCTAACCCTAACTATCCCTAGCACCATAAAACTAACCTTATTCCCCTGAACTTAATTTAACCTAGCCTCCCTCTTTAACAGTGTCTCTATATAATGTATTTATCTAATCATTATTAATTGTTAAAGAATTCTAAAGCAATGTTATCATTTGAAAGTAACGGTTTCAACTACAGTGGTTTTAATGTACAGTACACATAAAAAAGTGACCCATGAATGCATCTGAATATCCATAATGTCACAGACCCATAAATACCACAATCTTACGGGGCCAGAGGTGTTAGGTGAATCAGTAAAAATTCAAAACACACTATATATAAGAACATGTAAGTCCTCTTAAAGGACCACTCTAACCACCATAACCACTGCAACACACTTATTTTGATAAGGATAGCAAAGTAGGGAATTATCTACTAAACAGCTGAAATATTATTTACCATTAAGAAAAAAGCTTATCGTAATTTTGATCTCTTAGCAGTTTACTCCCTAATTAGGTACTTTGTAAATGTTTGGCTGCTGCCTTCATTCATTAGCCATAGGGAATAATGGGAGTGTGAATTTCGGAAATTAACGACGTTTTTCTGACGAATTTTCGTTCAACTGAATCAATATGTCCTGAATTTCAGACAAACGGAAATTTGAAAACGAACAAATCACAATTCCCCATGCACATGTCTAATATGCTGCTTATAGACTGTCATCTGACAATATTAACGGATGTTACCTCTGGCACATTCTTGTTACAATGTCCAATCACTAACCAGTTAAAGAATCTTTATGATTTTCCTCTAGGACACCATCCAACAACTGGAAAATGATCTGAGGAACACAAAGGGTGAAATGGCTCGTCACCTGCGTGAATATCAAGATCTTCTCAACGTGAAAATGGCGTTGGATATAGAGATTGCTGCATATCGGTAACTTATTACAGATCCTATTGTCACTTTTTATGTCAAACTGTCAGAGTTATTCTAAAGTGAGAATTCAAAGAGAATTTCAAATTTAAGGCCAAAGTAGACAAGCTGGACACATGGTTTAATTAGAGAATTATTCCAGTTTGGAAATTACTGTTGAATTCTCACTTTAGAGAATAACTATGTTATTATATTATTTTCTAATTAAAGCAGGTATGTCTGTGTTTAATAAAGTTGGATATCAGATTCTGAATGAAATCTGTTTGTTTAAAGTTAGTTTTGGTTATAGATTCAAGAAGACAATAACAAGCTGAGCACAGTAAAATTCCATCTTCCATACCTCCCAAGTTTCCATATGTATGAGGGACAGTCCCTATATCTTTGGTCTGTGAGACTGTATAAAAGAACTCCACAGTAATAGCAGTAATGTGTCTTTAAACTACAATAAATATGTTTAGAAATCAGTCTGTGTAAACAGGATACATTGTTCTTGTTCTAAATTACATTTTCTCTTCATAAATTGTTATTAGTAAATTACATACATTTTTTTAAAACAGCCCCACTACTGGCCACACCCACATTCACACCCCTAAATTTAAATGGTCCCTCATTATTCATTTGAAACGTTGGGAGGTATGATCTTCAGTTTGGTGCCACCCCTTACCCATTAGCCATCACAGATCCAAGGGGATACGTTAGTGATGCACAATGATTTTGATGTGCAAAGTATTGTAGAAAATTGGGTTGACATCATCAAAGTCACAGGATTAAAACTCTTATGAGCCATCGTAACATAACTGCTTTAGAACTTGAGAACCCAGATTGGAATCCCGGTCAGACTACCAGTAAGTGTCCTTGGACAAGACACCTAATTATATATCTACCTACCTCAAGTCCTCATAGATTGTAAGCTCTTTTGAACAGGACCTTCTTCATCTATAGATACCCCCTTTCTACGATTGTAAAGTGATGCGGAATATGTTGGCAATATATACATGCTAATAATCACTTACAAAGACATATGTATGCTCAAAAAAAATAAAATCAGCAGTGATGTAAGTGATGAAGCAACACTGCGCCTAGCTGCCCGGAGTTATCGTTTGTGTATGTTAACAGAATATGTGATGTACACCGAAACATTAGCATCTAGTAACACTAACAAGGATATTAACTAAAGTGATTGTACACGTTTGTTGCCTGAAATTATGGCAAAATAAATGTTTTCCCTCCATGAATTTTCTCTTCTTGTCATACACATATAAATAGTGTAATTCAAAATATACTTACCCAAATATCCCATTTTATTATAAGCAATGGGCCTTAATTCTAGGGACTGCCCACACACAAAGGACATGTTAATCTAAGCACAATGTATGGGGCTGGTAGTAAGCGTCCCTGTTTTGCAGTGGTGACGTTTTGGGATTCGTGCACTGATAATTTATCAGTAAGAATTTTGAGTTACAGAACTTTGATCAACAGATAATGTTTGCAGCATTACAAAACTGAACTTTGTCCTGTTTGTTGTGACAAAAGTCCCTTTAAACATAGGGGGTTTGTTAACTAAGCTGGATTTGTCGACAAAAGAATTGTACATTTTAGGTCAATGTATCTGAGCTGAAAAATTGCTGAATTGGAGAATTTTTCCGATTCTTCAAAACATTCTACAGTTTAATGAATAAACCATGTTGCAAGAATTTTGGTGACAATTGCAGATCCTGGGCGAACACATTACAGTGTCCCTTAATGTTCCTTAACAGTATCACTGGTTCCCCTCTGTCTCCTGCCTTTTCGCTTCAAGGGTCAATGTTTCCATTTGTTTCAGTGACTGCAAGGCGTGGTATGGGCATTTCTCATGTGAGCACACATCTCTCACATTGTTGTGATGGGTTCTCTAATATGCCTTTCATCTATCTGTGCCCAACATTTTGGATTCCATGCAACATTGAGAGATATGTATGGCCCTCAGATAGTAGGGTGTGGGGTGTATGCCTCACACGCCCCTGCCTAGACCAAGCCTTGCACTTTGACAACATCATGTAAGTGTTTATAAGGAAGAATTTGGTCTTTTAATTTTGAAATAACTCTTCCTCTTTTCATGTTCTTCTAGAAAGCTGCTGGAAGGTGAGGAGACGAGATTTAGTACAACAGCGATGAGCATTACACCTCCAAACCCAAATCCGTATCCCAGCTATTCTTATCAATCTCGAGTTCATAGTTCTTCGTCCTCTAAAGTGAAACCAACCATAACCTCCTTCAAGAAAGAGGAAACTGACGGAGCCTCTAAAGTGGTGTCGAAAACATCTACTCATACTGGAGAGACCTTTGAGGAAATCATTGAGGAAACTGTATCAACCAAAAGAGTAGACAGGCCAGATCAAAATGAGGAGATTAATGGCAAGCCTTAGGAAAACAGGTAGCATTAAAAACTAGGTACAATAGCAGCAACAAATTAAAAATAGAAGTTTCACTCCAGTGTCCACATTCATTTGTAGAACTCACGCTAGGGCTTATCATACATAGAATAACATATTGACATTTCACAGAAATATCCATGTAAGTAGCAGTATCCATAACTTGTCATAAACTCAGGCACAGGGGTCCATTCCTTATCTTCCAACTGTTACTGAATATATTTCGCACAATTCTGCACGAGCCATTTGGAACTATAGTGCAGTAACAGGTGAAAGGCCATAATAACAACCACTCGTTAATCCAACCATAGACCTTTAGAGAGGGAAGTACATCCAATGTAATAAACGAGCAAGGACTGACTTATTTAAAACTGTTAATGATATGTGCAGCTGCAATCCTCAGATTAAAAACAACATTTGTAAAAGAGAAATTTGCGGGGAAAAGGTGTGTTTTTTTGCTTTTTTAGCAGACTGCAAATGGGTTACCTTCAATTATAAAAATGCAAGTTCAAAATTAATTTTTTTTCTTTGCACTAAAATTGCTTCTGAAGTATTGTTTAGTCATATAATAATGTCCCCATTTACAATATATGGAGAAAAAAACAAATATAAATCTGTTAAAATCTTTAAAAAGATGGCTCTTACAGGGAAGAATATTAAGCATGTAGCTTTATTGAGGTGGGAAATAGATTTTTATAATCAAATTAAAATAGCAGCATCGAATATAGCACATCTTAAAGGTAACCAAACCTAATTTTGAGTCTAACATGTCTTTAGTGGTTGTTTAACAGAAGCATCACAGGATCGGACAAAGTCTCATTAGGATTAAGATAAATATGTGGTAATAAAAAGTTTCAAACTTAAAACAAAACAAAACACCTGTCACAAACTGTTCCCTTTTCCATCTAACATAGAAATATTTGGGGATTCCCGTTTGATCAATAAAACAAAATCTCATTTCACGCATAGATGCATGATCACTTGTTGTGGCCTAAGTATGATAGAACGCTATTACTCATTATTAGCAGCGGTTAGACTAGAAAACACACAATTTTCTCACTTAGGACTAAGATACTTGGGTGTGTTAAATTAAGGCAAATTCAGTTGAAAAAATTGTCTTTCACATGGGCCAGCTTCACCTAACACCGTTGACTGAATGAGGGTTGAGTAACCCATTGTAATACAGTAATCACTCACCCCTACGGCACATCAAGAGATAATACAATAGTAGAGACCATATAATCGTAGGAAACTCAAAGTGTCTGCTGGCACTTCCACAGAACAGTTTCTATTTCCTAACACAATTGCATTAGATTGTATTCAATGTTTGTCAAAGTATCACAGGTAAAGGTGTGAATGTTGCATTAATGTGAAAAAACAAGTCACTTTAAATCACTAAACACTCTTGATAGAAGTATACTGATTTTGCACACAATTGCAGAGGATATGTGTAGCTGTTAACCTACATTTCTCAAGAAATATTAGTAAGTTTGAAAATCAGTCTATTATACAGCAAAATTAATAATATCATATAATGTTTCTAATTGTCCCATTAACAAGAAGAATTAGGATTTAGAATAAATATGATTGCAATAACAAGTAATTATCATGTTTTTTAAATCCTTTTTTTCCCTCAATGTGTTTTATAAAAAAACATATGCAAGGTTAATCACTAAAGTGTCAATTATTGCTTGGAATTCTAGTGACTTCAAAGTGAATTTAAAATTTATTCCCAACAGAGCTGAATTCTGTAAATTAGCGGTGGTTCAGATTTACTACTATTTTGGTCTGCAGTTTTAAATTCACTTTGAATTTCCAAAAATTCCTACTTCTTAATAATTCTTGATGGTTAATTTGCTGAACTGGGAACTGTTGAGAATTGAGCAGAGAGTTGCAATTTTTAGCCAAATTTTAGCCATTCAGCAAAAAAAAGACCATGTGGAATATTTTTGAAATCAGCTAACTTGGCCATAAAATTCCAACCGCCCCCTAACCGGGTCTCTGCTATTCCTGCTTAACAAATAGCACAATCCGTCTATTTTTACATTTGTGATACAACGTTGCAATTTTTATGAAAGCACAATAAGATAATATACATATTTTTTACATAAAATAATCCTGTTTGCACATTTTAAAATAGCACATACTTATTGCAAGTGCTCAAAAGGGGAAGCTAATTACTAGACTCGATTTGTAACGAACTGACTCCAAAACTGACACCCTGGGTAAAATAATCTTTAAAACAGGAAAATTGGAGAATTTTAACACAGAGACGCTTACCGCATCTCGTTGTTTAGTCATGCAACCCCTGAGTAAGATAATACACCAGCTGATTGCTAGTTGATTGATGAATTAAAAGCCGATGTAAATGTAAGATTTATTTACATTCTCAGATTACGTTTGCAATTGTTGCAGATGTTGCAGATGTGCCAAGTTTAAGATAGGATTTTGTACTGGGTCTTTAAATGCATACTTCAAACATGATTTTCCCAATATGAGGGCAGCTGTTTGGATTTCTTGGGAGGTTTGGGGTTACAGCGAGGATTGATTTCTGAAATTGTGTAGACCTGTCGATGTCCAAGGATGGGCTATAACAGATTATCCAGCTGTTGTTGAATTGCAACTATCATGATTCTTAACCAGCCTAAACTTTTAGTTTCAACGTAGTGGCCGCTCAACAACAGCTTGTGACACCAAAGTGAAGGATCTGGGGCACTGTGATACCACAACATGTGAAAAAACTTCAAATAAAATGTCTTTCTGGCATCATTGTATCCTGTCTGGTTTTTGTGCAAAAGAGATGTCATCAATATTGCTGTGTTAGAACATTAGCTTAAATGTTAGCTAGGAGTCTCAACTGACTTACTCCCCGTTTGGAAACTAATATCAAACAAGAATGCTTTTATATTTTAAAACATTGTATATAGTATTTTTATTCTTAGTATAGTATATATTAGTGTACTGTAGGGTGACTGATAGTATATAAATATACTGTTACCTATAGAATGTTTGCATATGGTCACTAATCACTAATTGTAGTCTCCAAGGGCTACGATGGCCAGAGTGGTCATATTTCTTACTTGACAATCTAAGTTTTATGGACAGATCCCTTACTTGTCCGTGGAGGAAGATGTCATATCTCACATCACAGAGTAGTGTCAAGTAGGAAGCAGGGGTCCAACACTATATAGAATGGGCATGCTAGATAAAAAGTCCGATTATAATATCAAAACATCTGAAGAATTTTTAAAGACTTGAAAAATGTGTTAAATTTAGGCATAAACAGACAAGTTACGGCTCTGTTAGAGTTAGAGATATGTCCAACTCAGCTATTTTGGCCTTACGTTTGCAAACTTGTTTTGTATGTCCAGTGTAAATATTCAGTCCATAAGAATAGAAATGTGGGTGTTTAAATGCTGTTCCACAATGATGTGTGTCTGAGATTCGATAATTGTCTGCTCCAACTGAAGCTTTATATAATCAGAAATGTCAAATGTCAGTGTCACACGTCACCATGGAGAAATGCACATTCAATGTCAAGTGATCACTCTCAGCTAATGAGCGCTAGTGGAGGTGGGTTGTGGAGCCTGGAGGACCCTAGGTGAGAACTCAAACCATTCTGCAGCCAATGAGCTCTAGTGGAGGTGGGTTGTGAAGCCTGGAGAACCCTAGGTGAGAACTCAAACCCTTCTGCAGCCAATGAGCTCTAGTGGAGGTGGGTTGTGGAGCCTGGAGGACCCTAGGTGAGAACTCAAACCATTCTGCAGCCAATGAGCTCTAGTGGAGGTGGGTTGTGGAGCCTGGAGGACCCTAGGTGAGAACTCAAACCATTCTGAAACATTTGACTCCTTAGAATTACAAAGGAGGGGACATCTAGAGTGTTCCATTAACAGACTGCGTTCAAACTATTATAATCCAAAGTCGTTGTGCCAGTTGAGCTTCTCTTGGCCTCCATATTCCTTGTTGGCTGTCAACTCACTGTTTAGTGAGTAATAAACTACTAGACTTTTCAATATAAAGCAAGCAATAACCACCTAAAATTATCACGAAGAGGCAGATGCAGCAAAATAAATAATGCAGAAATCCCAATACTCACTCTGTGAAGAGTAGGGCTTCATTCTGCAAGATGTCTACATCTTGGTAACACGATACCTACCGATGACCTACTTTGCTTCATAAGCTGCTTTAAAACCAGAAACATCACAATTATTTCTTTAATTCGTGGATAGGGAGAGAAATTCGATTTTCTTCCTTTGCTGCAGATTTGGGTGTAAAAACTCCACAATTAGAAAGTACAATTGATTTTTATTGGCTCAAGAAAAGATACATATCTCTGTCCCATTTCAAGTAAAGGAATGTTAGCTACATGGTTTGCATTAAAAAAAAATAAAAAAAATAATGAGTGGATTTTTGTTTTAGAATTTACATTGCTTGACTTTGGCTTAGCCAGAGCATATTATGTCGAGCAAATTATCTTTCTCTTTCTCCCCCTAGCAAAAATAAAGATGAAATAATATCTCATAGCCCCACGCTATAAGAACATCAATACAGATACTAGCAAATACAATAAATCTAAAACAAATTTAGGTTTAAAATAGCGAAGTGACTCAAAAAATATCCTAATAAAAATGTTAAAGAAATAGTTCATGAACTCTTACTCGAGGCTCTGTATTCATTTTTATTATGCCATTTTATAGTCATTTTGCTATTTCATGTATGCATGCTTTTTGATATTTTGTTTACTTTCCTGATGTTTGTATAGCTCTGAGCTACACAGTTTCTATTTCCTCTTTAGTTCCATTTTTTGGGCAATTAGAGGATTTGTTTTTACCAACTGTTTAAGTGTAAAATCAATCTACTGCCTAATCGACAATGATTTAGAAATTTAATCAAATAGTCTGACTATTTCTTCACAATTTGTGTTTTTTGTTTTTTTTTACATTTTATTACACAGTGACAGACGTTATGTAAAATTGTGTGTGTGTCTCAGCATG